CCTTCCTTCCTTCCTTCCTTCCTTCCTTCCTTCCTTCCCTTCCTTCCCTTCCTCCCTCCCTCCCTCTTTTCTTTCCTTGTCTATTATTTATGAACACAGATTCATGTTATGAAAACAGATTAATGATCATTTTTTGCATAAAAATTTGGGCATACAAAATTATAATGGTATTCAATGAAATTTGCTTTGGACCTTTCCTATTTTTAGGGAACTGAACAGATTTTTAGTTACAATCATTCTGTTGCACACGGAGAGTCTGGATTTCAAAAACAACAACAAATCCTCCACAGGTTTCTCCACATTTATGGGATGCCTTCATAGCCGTTATCACTTAAGAGAAGTGGTGTTAAAGTCTTGCCATAGTGCAGTTAAACATGTTGGTTCTCAGCAGAGATTTTAGCGTGTACCCTACAAAGATTCTCTTAGGGGTTGTTTTTTTGTTTGTTTGTTTCACTGACACCCCCCCCCCTCCGGCAAATCCAGTTCTATTGAGAGGGATTGGTTCCTTCCATGATCTTTGTGTGCAACAACCTGTGCAGGGAACTCCTTGCTCTTGCTCTTTCTAGTGGGCAAAAGTCATCTTTGTTTGCATGAAAGTAAAGGCCTGATGGAAGTAGGGTGAGCTTTTCATTTTAAGAAGAGTTAAAGTCTGGGGTGTTTTTAATGTTTTAATCTCTGTTTAAGAGGTTTCTGTAAGGAGAGGAAAATTGATAACACTTTTACCTCAGCAAACTGCCAGCAAACTGGCTCTGCTCTAATCCCACGTTTATAGTGATTTATATTCTCCGTGGCAATGTGCTGTAACCTCAGAATGATACCACTGTGGTGCAGATTGACTGCATTCCAAATGTTGGAATCACATACATAATGTTTTTACTTTTAAATAATATTCAGACACCAGAATAAATACCATATGTGCACTGATGCTGGTTACAATGGAACCTTGTCATTTCTTGTGAGAGAGAACATTCTTTGTTTCTGAATCCTGTTTGAAATAAGTATGCAAAAGATAAATATGTACATTGACAGCATTTTGAGAAGGCTTAGGTAATTACACAGCTGAGGATGTAGCTGTGATTTCTTGAAATGGAGCAGTTAAAACTTAAAGGATTGTTAGGTTGCCACCTCTCTCTGACACTCACGAAGACAAGGATTGTTATCTGACATTCCCGGCATATGGTGTAGTTTTTATGTTTTATATCTACAGCATGCTGTAGTAAAGGACATCTGTTGAAGAAAAATTACCTCCAGGAGCACCGTTCATAGGAACAGTGAGACTAACATGCTGATGACATTGTAACAGGGAGAGTAACACATGTGATAATGGGAAGGGATGGATTGATTGGAAAGCCATAATTCAGTGTGAGACCCCATGTTATCTGATGCCACAAAAGCAGAATTTAGGTGGCCTGACATCATCAAACTACAGATAATCAATCTCCCCAGACCTATTTTTTGCCCATGTGATACTGAAGATTTAAAAGTTTCATAAAGTTAAGAAATACCTCCCAAGTCATGCAGTTTTAGATTCTTGTTTTTATCCGTCTTGGTTGGAATTCTAATCCACCTAGACATATTTTTTAAATAGACATGGCAGAATGCCTTTCATATTTGTACATCTGTAACGAGCTCCAACAAGTCAGTCCACATTTGCTTCTTGGGGAAGCGTTTCAATCCAGGCTTGCATTATTACCATCAGTTAAGCTATATTGAATTAGTGTTTATAACATTTTAATAATATTTGGGAGATGAGGAAACCCTAGGCATGGGAATTGATGGCTTTCCTACTCCTTTGCACCCCCATCCCCACCCAGTTTTGTGAGGTTTGCCCAGAATATATAGTGTGAGATTAATGTGTGAGTCATACATCATAATACATCTCTGACAGTTTATCTGGCACATGACTCAGAGTTTGGGTAAATCTTGCATCCTTTCTGGGAGTATTTGTAGAAGTGTTCCCCATTATAAAATGACTCAAAGTGATTTTTTTTGAAATGGAGAAGTTATGAAGCAAGTATTGAACCTAAAACCTGTGGTCTCTCCTTTGCAGCTTTTCGGATGATCCCTTACCCTTTGGAAAAGGGGCATCTATTTTACCCTTACCCAATCTGTACAGAAACAGCAGACCGAGAGCTGCTTCCATGTAAGTCTCACCTCTCTGTCTTCTTCTTTCCAGCCAGTGAGGGTGGTGTGCCTGAAGGTGGGGATGGGGAGAGGTGGGAATGATAAATGTTTATAATGTTCCTTGTCTTTATTACTCTTCCCCCTACCCTGTCCTCATTTGATAGCATATGAATTAAAGTGAATTATGTCAGTGAGTTTGGCTTTCTGCTGCTCCAAGTCTCTCCAGATTCATAGGGAAAGACCCCAGAGGACTGAAATGCAGATGAAGAGCCATCATGTACTGGCCTCAGCGCAGAGACTGCTAGTTTGGGATGTGGCTTATCTGCTGGACTGGCCCAAGGTGCTGGGTTTTGCTTGAGCTCTCCAGCTGGTCAGCCACAGCCTACACAGACCTGACACTGGAAGGGGAAGCACTGACTTCAGAGGGAGCTGCCGATGAGTCAGGGATGGGGGGGGAGGGTAGCACCAGGATGCTGGCATCAGTGCCAGAGGCGGAGTTGTGGGGAGAGAGGGCTTGCTGTCTATGGGTGATGCAATGCTCTTGGTTGGAGGGATTTCCCTGTAAGCTGTCGGGATGGCACACAGTTGGCTGCTGTGCCATGTGCAGGGCTTGTGAGCGGCCTCAGCATGGCTTAGAGTGCCGAGAGGGAAGGCGCTGCCCTGGGGCCTTAGCAGCTCGCAGCCCGATGGCCCCAACTTTGTTTTGACAATTTCAGTTCAACAGTTACCAAGTCATGCTGTGTACAAGAAACACATCCAGGCTCTTTATGTGGCCCTGACTTAGGACATATTTTCCTCCCTTAATAATAAGCTCGAAATTTTGGCTGTTTTCTCTTCCCCACCCTCCCTCCTGCTACCCCTTCCCTTTTAGCAGCCCCAGTTATAACTATAACATGTACAAAGACTTGCCCTTCGTGACAGGACCTTTGGAGTCCTGGGCACATAGTATGTTGTCCAGGGTCATCATCATCCAGCCAGTCACAAATCTCCATCGTAGGGGGTCTGGGTACAAAACCAGTTGCCCCTCAGATTGAAGTGACAGGTGGTAGCCACTCATTTCCCTGCTACCCAGCCCCCGTGAGATGTGCCACCCAGGGCCCTGCGATGTCAGGGATGTGCTTGTTCCCACTGGCCAACTTTCACTGTGAGAAGGGGTCTGGTACCTCATATTCCATTAGATTTGATGTCATAAATTCCTGTTATGAGCCCATACTTTACCTTTTGACACCCCTTCAGGGAAATCTTTGGTGAAGCTTCAGGTTTTCTGGTAGAAATAAGCAGCTTTCTGAAGAGTTCACAGTTTTAAGCAGTTGTAACTGAGTCCAGTTCACTTTCTGTGGGGATAGATTGGTAATGAAAATGAGATTACAGTTCTTAAAAGAAATGGTAAGAGTAATCTTTATAAGCCTGAAATAGAAAATTAGGGCCCACATTTATTAAGTGCAGTGGTCCACACACAAAACCTTTTGTGGGGCTTGTACATGAAGGGGGAGATAGGACAGACCTCAGTGGTTTGAGCCCTCCCACAGTTCATGCTCATTCTACCCTGAGTTTGAATCCAGCAGGCTGACTCCCTGGCTTGTGCTTCCCCCTCCCTGTATGTGCCCACCTCAGCCTCAGCAGAATGCAGGATGGGCATGTTTAGGGCTCCAAGTAACAGGAGCGGGGAGGTTGAGAAAGAGCTTAGGTCATGGATTTCATGAGGAAAGTGGAGGCCGTGGATCCTTTTGGCTGAGGGGTGGTGGCTCTCAGTGCACCACAGCTGCTCTCCTTTCCCCCCACTCCCTGGCCCTGACATGGCTGCTCCCCTTTGTGCTGGCTCCCGGTGCTGCTCACAGGCAGCCTGGAAGCAGGGAGTGTCCATTCTCTCCCCAAACTCACCCTTAGAAATTTAAAGCTGTGAAAAGTGCTCTAAGGTGTACCGATTATTGATTCATGTTCATTGGTTGTTAGAAGTACATTAAGCATCCGAATCCCTACACTTGTGTGGGCTAATGCTCCCGCCTGTCCCCAGCTGTCCCAGACAGTGGGGGCCAGCACACGAGGGCCTTGCCAGTTGGCCTTCATCAGGGTGGCCCTCCCTGCCGACGTATTGGCGTAGACCAGGATCCAATTCAAGATAAACTTACATCACCGCATTATAATTCAGAAATTACAGGAAGGTGAAAACCAACTATAGGTAGTTCTTTTTTTCAGTATACCTGATTTTGGTATACTGACTAATGAACGTGTCTTTTATAATTTGAATAAAGCTTTGTCTTATTTGCATTTGATTTTGGGGAGGAATATAATATAGTAGACTAGATGCCTGTGAATTTGTGACATCGCCACATCAGCCCTAATACACCCCAGAGGGTGACAGAGTACTGAAGGTTGAATATGGACTTGGGAGGAGCAGAAAGGCTCCCCTAAAGCCTGGCATGGGTCTTAGCTGCAGTTGGTCAAGGGCCCTGCCTTCTTTATTTCCAAACGGCTCTGGCCAAAGCTCAGGAGAATCATCTCCGTAGCTAGAAGTTCACCGAGAATGCACTTTACTCTACACCTCTTATTTCCCTTTTGTTCTTCACAGCTTTCCATGAAGTCTCAGTTTACCCAAAGAAGGAACTTCCCTTCTTTATTCTCTTTACTGCTGGATTGTGTTCCTTCACAGCCATGCTGGCCCTCCTGACACATCAGTTTCCAGAACTCATGGGAGTCTTTGCAAAAGCTGTGAGTATTGACCAGAGGAGGTCTCAAGGGTAAAGCAGGGAAACAGCACAAGTTTGGGGAATGTGCTGTAAACATGGTTATGCCCATATCCATCACTCACTGTTCAATTTCATCATCCTCCATGGAGTCAGGATTTAGAGTCAAATGAGAAGCATGGATGTTTGTTATTCGTTAGTGCATGCCTTGACTGATTTCACACACACGCATGCACACACGTGCACACTCATGCACGCACGTGCGCAAGGTTTTCTGCAGTTGCCAAAAAATGCATGTGGTCTAAAAGGATCACACAGATAGTTAAATGTGTGGGACTTTGCTTTATTTTGTATAAATATAATGACATGATTTCTGATCTTCAGCAATTATGGATCTTTCCTTCAAAAAAAAGATGAGATTTACAATTTCAAAGTAATTGAAATTTGAAAATACTGACTACAAACCTTTGACTTGTTTGAGGTATAAACAGAGATGTGTGAAAGGCTTGCAGTGTTAAGAAGTGTACAAATAGGACACCTAGAAATAAGGAAATTCAGTAAGAGTCTTTAAGGAAGACCGTAGAAAGGAGCTACACTAAGAAAACACACTGCACTGACTGACCATCAACAACCACTGTTTCCCTGTTGAAAACTAAGCTGTTCATTCTGCACGTGCTACAGATGAATTTCAAATAGAAAGAATAAGAAAAAGAACGTCAGTTGTTTTTCCTAAACTCCATTCTGATTTCAAGGCAAGTGGAGTCAACAAAGGCTTGACTGGGTTGATTCATCCTTTCCAGATGATTGACATTTTCTGCTCAGCAGAGCTCAGGGACTGGAATTGCAAGAGTACTTTTATGCATGGTGAAGATGAACTAGAAATCCCACCAGCACCTCTATCTCAATATTTTCAGAATTGCACATCACCCTTCCTTCCCCACCACCAAAGTTGCTCCTCCTCCCTGTATTCCTGACTGCAGGCTGCACTGCCATAGACCCCCCCCCCCCACTCCGTTATACAAGCCAGAAACAACACCTTTCCCAAACTCTCCTGTCTCATCTTTTCACATCCCAGTGATCTATGGGGTCTCACCACCTACCCCTCTAAACATTCAGTAAATGTAACCGCCCTCATCTCCTGTTCTCCCCATGCTCCCTCTTAGGTTAGGTTTTTATCAGTTTTTGTCTGCACTCCTGAAAGAGTCTTAACTGGTCTGCTTACTTCCAGTCTTATCCTCTACCTACCTTTATTTTGCAGTAACACAAAGATGTTCCTTCTAAGTTACAAGTTTGAGCCTGTTTCTTTCCTGGATTGAATTTCTTCAATAATTTCTCACCAACTTCAAGCTAAAGTTTCAGCTTTCTAGCATGGCATGCAAGGTCCTGTTGCGATCTGGTCCTTGCTTGCCTTTTCAGCCTCATCTCTCCCAGTTCTTGCATAGACACCAGTCTTAGGCCGTTATGAGTTACTTGTCATTCCCAGATACAGCAGGCTCATGTGCCTTGGCACATGTGGTTTGCGCTGCCTGGAATGCCATTCCCCCGTCACCCTCCCCCAGCCATCCACCCTCTTCATTTTTGTATGCTCAGCTTTCTTTCCAAGTTGTTAAGCTATGTTAGATGTTGCTCCTCTGTTATCTTACGTTATTCCATGAATACCTACATTATCACATTTTTTGGTGCTATATTATAGCTGTTGAAAACGTGTCCCCCCTTTAGAATGTAAGCTCCTTGAGAGCAGGACTGTGGCCGCCTCTGTAACCCAAAACTTTGATAGTGCCTTGCACAGAGTAGTTTTTCAATAAATGATTTTTAAAAATTTATTTATTTTTGCATACAAAACTGGGGTACAGGCCAGAGTTGCAGGGATGGTAAGAGGATTCACCATAGTCAGGTTGGGGAGCAGAACAGGATGATCGATGAAATATACTGCTGAGGGGAGCAGCGGGCAAGACAGGAGCCGTCACCTCCGGGGCGGGGATCAAACTCACACCGAAGCAGCCGTGGCCAGCTTCGCAGTGCTGCGCTTTAACCGGCTGCACCACCAGGGAGGGCCTCAATAAATGATTATTAAATAAAGAAATGGTAGTGGTTTTTGTAAAACTCAGATAAAGCTTAGCATTTCTTTTATATTTATAATCACAGACTCATAAAAGTTGAAAGGGACTTTAAATTGCCTTCAACAATAACATGATGGAGGTCTTCTGGACTCATTTTGAGTAAGCAATGGGAAGCAACCTATTGAACATCAAAACCCACCTCATTGTTGTATCATTCAGGGCTATGCTGATGAAATCTGCCTTTCTTTAATTTCCACTTATTTCTATTCTGCCCTCTGAAATTATCCTGAACAGTCTACTTTCTCTTACAAATTCTTAAGACAACTAACACTTTTAATGCCACCTCTTAACTGACAACCTTCCTTTTTCTGCAATCAAAATACTTAAATTTCCTTAAGCCTTCTGAACATGACGTGATTTCTAGACCTGAATACCTCCCAGGTGCCTCCTTGGGTGTGCCCTAGTTTATAGGCCTATGGTATTCACTGTTTTCTTCTACTCCCAAACCAACTGCTGAATAAAAGGAGTTACTTAACCTGAATAGGTGAGAGTGTGATGAGGCCTATGGTATTCACTGTTTTCTTCTACTCTCAAACCAACTGCTGAATAAAAGGAGTTACTTAGCCTGAATAGGTGAGAGTGTGATATACTACAATTTAAAATGAGAGACTATGTATATGACATTAGACAATTACTATTTCTCTGTTTATGTTCTCTTAAACATTTTTTTAAATATTTATTTATTTGTGCATACAAAACTGGGGCACAGGCCATAGACTCAGGGGTAGTGAAAGACTTCACCAGAGACAGAGTGGGGAGCAGAACACGCAGATCGACTAAGTATACTGCTGAGGGGAGCAGCGGACAGGTCAGGAGAGGTCTGCCACGCCATGTGGTCACCTCCGGGGCAGGTGGGAATCGAACTCATGCGGAAGTGGCTTCAGCTTGTTAGTGCAGTGCTTTAACCCACTGCGCCACCAGGGAGGGCCTCTCTTCAACATTTTTAAAGCATTTTTGTTGATGTATGTCATTGGCTCAGTGTTCTTCATTAAACTAACAAATAGCTCTGTGGGAGCTATCATCAGATGGTGGGAGTTTAGCAACTAAATAGCCATTCTGAGGCTCTAAGGTGCATAAAATTCATCTGCTCAAGCCACTAGAAACTCAGAATTTTAAATGTTTATACCCATGGATCTGTATTTCTAATAGTGACTCGAGCAGATTCCTGAATAGGAGTTGAGGACCAGTTTCCTTCCAAGAAAACTGCTTTTAAGAAAGCTCTGGGCAGCTGTATACAGGGTTATAGTGTTCTTTCAGAGCTGTGAGATGAGAGCATTCCAGGCATCAGTGCTTCCACCCGGTTATACCTTGCAATCATCTAGGAAACTTAAAAAGTTATGGACTGCCCTCCCCCAGCTCTGCCGCCCCCCACTCCCACCACCCCTGGCAGACCAACTTCCTTGGTCTGAGATACAGGGTGGGCATCTAGGTTTGCAGACACTACCCAGGTGACGGGGTTGTGCAGCTAGGGCTGAGAAACATTGTATTGAATAAAATGACAAATTGACTTCATCTCCTTTAACCAAAGGAGGGAGTTGGGAGGAATGAGGAATAATAACTAGAACTCCACTGGGTGTTCTCTAGGAAAGGCAGTATAGCCCCCTGATATCAGAGATGTGTTTGTTATGGATGTTAGACAAGGGGCTACTCTCTCCCACTTAACATTATCTAAAGCTTTGGTTTTGAGTCTAGCACCAAATGATAGAGTAAAATATTAATTTTCCTCTATAATCTTAATATTCCACTAGCTGTGGTGATTTGATCAGCTACTCATAATTTTCAAAGGTAGTTTAGATAAATTTGCTTTTAAACCTCTGTCTGAAGGATCGCATTCATCTTGGCCTTCATTAAGGTTTAGCAGTTTTCAAAATGTCTGGAAAGACTTCATGGGGAAGGAAGATGGATGGCCTGAAGCAGACAAGCTCCATCTCTCCTCATCCCCGTCCCCCACCCCCAGAGTTTCTCCACATTTCACTCCTGTCACTTCATCAGGCCCCTCATGAACACCCCCAACCTCCCAGCCCCCCACCCCTGCAGGTTATCACAGCTGCCCTATAGGCTGTCTGAAACCATTTGCAACTTGTGAAAATGATTTTCTCAGCCTTTGCTTGAGATAATGTCCCTGGGATAATGACTTTTAGGAGATGCAGGGAGATTGCACTCTCCCCCCACACCCCCTGCCCTGCTACATGTGGCTTGGGAACTGGAACGCTGTGTGTTTACATGTTGATATGCAGCCTGCTTGGGAGGCCCATAGCGAATTGAGCACCACTGGAAAATCATAAAGTGAAAGGTTTCAACTGACTTTCTCCCCAATCTAATCTACCTCAATGACTTAGGACTAACTCTTCCTTCAATGTTTGGTCACCAAGATAAGGTTGCTCATATAAATAAGTTATTCCAAATCCAGTCCCTCACAGAATGTGGGAAGGTCAGCATTCTGACCCCTTCTGCTTTCAAGGGCCATGTCTTTACTCCGCAGGCCTCTCTCCTTCCGAGATTGAGCCCCCTGACTTCTGATTCTCCTCCTCACTTATGGGCTCTGTCCTCTTTGAAGTCTGATATTGATTACAGCAAAATGTCAATTGTCTGATTGCAAAAGGGCACCTGGAACTTATTCAGATAAGCAGAGTCTTTTCAAATGTTAACGAAGCATTTGGGAGCCATGACCCTCTTCTAAATGATGGTGTTTTGGGAAAAAGAGGATCAGGTGATTGAAGTGTCACTCTCTGGGTTTTTATTACTTCAGTTGCTTTTTCTCACCACAAGACACTGATTAAATTATGGCGCATTTTGGACTGTGTGTGTCTGCCCTCTACACAGATGTTTTTGGACATTGTGATAGAATGTTTCCAAGACTGCCTCGCATTGCTTATTCAGACTTAATTTTTCAGGCAATGTATATTCCAAGTCTGTGAGTAAACCTGTTCTTTGTGTGCATTGATTGAGCCTTTCACCAAAAAAAAAAAGTTGACAGATTTTCAAATTTGCAAAGAAATAGTCCAAACCAGGCAAGCTCTGTCAAGTTTTTATTTTTATTTTTTTACTACCTACCTCCACATTAAAAAAAAAGTGATCTTTATTTGGTTACTAAATCGGAAGGTTTAGCAGCTTCAGATTCCACCATCCATTGTCTGCTTCCCTGTGGGGGAGGATGGTAGAGGAAGGGGTGCGGGGTGCAAAGGAGTAGCTAATAAAAAGAGTGTCCATCGGCCCTCCCTGGTGGCGCAGTGGGTTAAAGCACAGCACTGAGAAGCTAAGGCCACTTCCGCATGAGTTTGATCCCCGCCTGCCCCGGAGGAGACAACATGGTGCGGCAGACCTCTCCTGACCCGCCGCCTGTTCCCTCAGCAGTGTACTTCGTCGATCTGCTTGTCTGCTCTGGTGGATCCTCTCACCCTCCACATCTCTGGCCTGTACCCCAGTTCCATATGAATAAATAAATAAATCTTAAAAAAAAAAGTGTCCATGATAGAATATTCTAGATATGAGGGAGAACAGTGAGTCGTGATACACATTTGGAGGTAGCAGGAGTGCAGTTCTCTTGTGGAACCTTGTTGAGGGAATAGGTGTGGTCAGGCACCCGGGCCCATCATGCTTTGCTGTTCAGGGAGGAAGAGAGGCACTAGCAGACATCTGCCAGGGTGAGGCTGACTTCTTGATTTCCAGAGGCCTGACTTCTGCTCTTTTTATGAGTCAGGTCAATGCCTAAAGCAAACAAGCCACTGTGTATCTTACTTCATAAACCACCTTTATAATAACACCTCCAATCATTCTGCTCACCAGGTTGAGGTTCCCAGATGTCCCCATGGTTCTAGTGCATGAAATCATCCAGAGTGCAGATTTCAAGCATTGTCTTTTACCTAAGTGCACTTGCTCATGCTAATGATTAGTAACTCATCCTCTCCAACTCCCTCTCCCCCAGTACAACTTTGGAGCTTCTAAATCTTTTTCTGATCAAATTTTTTGGATAGGATAACCTTCCCAGCAATAATACCTGTCCCTTGAGTCTCATCTCCCTGTCCCTGTCAGAATCTTTGGCTTACCCAGACCACTTTAGCACCCCAGTCCTCTTTACAGAACTGAGTATGGAACAGCAAATGCTGTTTTTTGTGGAAGTTTGGTGGTCTTTGTTTCCATATAAATGAATGAATGAATGTGGGTACATAGGTATATATTTTTAATTTGATAGTGTTAGTATGTTGGGTTAATGCAATCTATAGGCTTATTCCATATTATTCTCTCAGAACCGGGATTTTAAAAACTCAGCCGGAGCAGTGATTGCTCATTCCTGGGCCCATCATCATCCCTGATGCCTTCCCATGGCATTCAGAAGTGGTACCCAGTCTAGCTCTAGTCTGAAAGGGTAGGCAGACCATTCCGTAGGTGAGCACTCAATAAGGGACCATTTCAGAAGATTGCAGAAATTGCCATATGTCCATTACCCACTTGAGGAAAGAACCATTCGTCTTCAGTCCCATACTGACTGGACCGCCAGTGTACTGATTGTGAATACAGCCTGTCATTCAAGGCCTTTAAGCCAAACTATCTGCTATCTTCCGGTCAGCTATGTTCCCATTTCTGTTCCAGGTTTGCTGAACATGAAGGGCTCCCTGCTCATACTTCTTCTTAGCAGTCTTTCCTCCATTTCTATCCTCTGATGTCCCGACTATGTCTGTTGCCTCATTTCAAGCTCTCCTCATCTTTCCTGAAGAATGCATTCTCTCCCTTTTCTGAACCCCTAGGTGCTCCATTTGGGCTTCCATCTTCCAATCACATCTATCTGATACTATTACTTTGTGGTGCACAGGTTTTAATGACCCACACCCCTGGCCTTTGAACTTCCTGACAGTGGGAACTTGTTCTATAATTCCTTTACATCTCACCTAGTAGCTGGGTGCCTAGCTGAGTAAATATACCTCATTACTCTAAAAGATGGCAACAAAGAGGATTCCAAAGCTTATATTAACTCAAGTTCTCTGCATATCAATCTCAACATTTGGTGGCCCAGGCCTTCCCAGTTTATATTTATTGGTTATAAAACAAGCAAACAAACAAAAAAACCCTATTCTGAGGGCAAGAGAATTTGGGAAACTTGTCTATCAGTGGCTTATACCCTTTCTTGAAGATCCACAATCCATATTCTAATGTGAGTAGCAGAATCTATTTCAACTCCATTAAATGCACCATCTACTAATTTGACTTCAGGATCATGCTCCCCTCTGCATTTATACTCATGTTCTGCGCTATACTTCTATGAGAAATTCTTGGTGAAGTGTACTGTGTTGTGGGGGATTAGGACAAAGCACTGTGTGAGCATGCTGGACAAGTGCCTCAGTGCTGAACAGACAAAGCAAAGAAACCATCCAAATGCTGTCTGCCTCACACCTGGCTAGGTTACAGCACCTCTTCTGCTGTATGCTGGATGGCTCGAATGAAAAGGATACTTCACAAGAACATAATTAGAACAATTTTGAGATGTTAAATGAGTCTCAGTGAGTTACTTGGCTTTCTTAAAAGGCACAGTTAATGAACATTTTCTACATGGGATGCAGAAAAGTTAGCAACCAAATGAAAGAGACCCCCAGAGACCTCAGAGCAGCACCTCTTCAACAAGCACATCTCATTCATGGAGGGACCAGCTTGCTGCCCTCAACCCAGGCTCCCATGATGCACAACTAAGCAGGAAGGAACAAGTGGACACTAAGCAACTCACAGTTACCAAGCATGACTTTTTGAAAAGGGACTTTTCCACTTAAAGTGAGTTCTGTATCCAGCTAGGCAAGTAGGTGGGCTAAGCTGTCCCATGTTTAACTCTTCTGCCCACTTGTTGCCCACTTAGTCCCTTTCAATGGCACTCAGCAGGCTTGAAGCCTCATAGGAAGATCAGTTGGCAGAGGGAACTGCCAGTGGACTCTTCTCCCCCTTATTGCTCCACGTAGCAGGCAGGGCCTGCCATGAAGGTCTGTTGCTCTATCAGAGTCTCCTTCAGATACAAATATGAAGTTGTAGCCTTTGAGACTTTCATAATGCAGAGAATGAAGATGTGAGCCAGGGTTGGAGAGGATCGTCTCTATAAGACTATATCTTGAAGGAAAGCTCACCTAACTTTTGTGCCTCTCTGATTTCTTTGCAGTTCCTCAGCACTTTGTTTGCCCCCTTAAACTTTGTCATGGAGAAGGTGGAAAGTATCCTCCCATCCAGTCTGTGGCACCAGCTGACACGGATCTAGGGAGGCTGCCCGCCCTCCCACTCACCTCACCCAGTGGGCTGCCACCATCTCTTCCGTGCCAAGTCCTTGTGGACAGCAAGAAAGCATGACTTTGAAAAAGGGAAGCCATTCCAAGATTTAAAATGTTCATGGACTATCTGTTCCGTATTAAAAGTTGTTTTTGTTGTACAAAACTCATTGATGTTCAGTTCTATTATATTTTGCCTTCAGAAAAGGAAAAAGGTCAAAAATAAACTTTTGTGTATTGCAGCAATCAGTTGTGTCTTCCTATGTCTTCCAACCCTACAAGTTTTGTGCCTCAAATAAACCTACAGGTTCTCATTTACTTTGGGAGGGACCCGGACCTGCTCAGCGGTGGTATATGGAATGCATGTCGGCAGGCCCCTGCAGTTGGCTCAGAAAATGGAATCTCTTGGGCTCAGAAGTACTCAGTGTTTCAGCCCCAACCTGAGTGCCCTCATAGAACAAATGAACACAAAGTATTTCCAAGATGAATGACTGGAAAATTGGATGAATGGAACATACGTGCCCTAGCAAGGTGCTCTAGCTCCGGGACTCTCAGCATTGAAGTTCCCAGAATCATTTTGGTTTTGCTTTCTGAAACTTTAGTGAGAAGAAAATGCCTATTGAGAATTTACAGTCCCATCAGTCTCTAGTAGACCCTGACAACTTTATAATGACCATTTTAAAAATGATTTCTTATGAGAAGGACTTGAAAAAAAAATATTATGTTGAATTCTTGGTATTTGGATATAAGCATTCTTTGAGTATGATTCCCAAAGTGAGACATGATCACTTTGAGTCAACATGATATTTTGTCCTCCATCTTTGAGAGCCTCCTACATGATTCACACCTGTCAGCATCCAAAGAAAAATAACTGACCTTGATTTCTCTGATAAGTGACGAGTACCTCTACTTAAAATCTCAACCCAGTGCTTAAAAAAATGGGTGGAATCTCCTTTACATAGTATGCTTTCCCTTTTATTTAGAATGCTGAATCTTTCTCCATGAACATTAAAAATAGGCCATGTGAAGGTGAACAGCACCTTGCTACGTCTCCTTCCCAGTTGCGATTCCTGTTGGCTCCCAGTCTTCATTCTAGAGCACATTCAAGTGGGTAGGTAAAGTTCAGGCACACAAGGGCCTTTCATGTTTGAGGCAAATTTTCCTTTATATCTCCTTTGTGCTTTGAGGAAATTATCTTTGGAAGAAGTTGAACCCCATCCTCCACACCAGTAATACTGTTCTTGGGAGCAGGGACTATGTCTACTTTGTTTCCCCCATAACTTCCCCCCCCCCAAAGAACTCTAAACATGGTATTTAAATGATTTGAAGGAATTGATGCAAAACCTGAGAGGTGCAAATGAACTTTTACTTACATTCAGAGGAGAGTGCTTGATTCCAGCAGAGAAGGACCAGGGAAGGCTTAGACTTATAATTTTGAACTAAAAGAAAAAGAAATAATTATATATTAAGAGGCGGGGAAACCGACATCCAAAGAAATTTTACCTGCTGGAGTTTGGACTCTCTAAGATTGTGATAAGCCTTGAATGAAAAGTTTGAGAGCTTGTAGGCAGTGGCAAAAAGAAACAGCCCCATGAGGGTTGTTAAGAGCCCGGTTGCAGGAAATGCAGCACAGGAGTGACATGCAAGGATTTAAAAGTACCCAAAGAATATAATAAATTGGACTTTACAGCAGTTGCATGGAGATGGGATATGTAAATTAGAATTCTAAGGGTAAAAGGAAGTGGAGAAATAACGGTAGAGAAAAGGAGATGACACAATGAAGCCACATGGAGGTAACTGAAATGACTCCATGGTCCCAGAGAGGAACTACTCACAAGAGGGGGAAACCATGGCTAAACTGAGGGATGTGATTCAGGGGACCGATGATCTGTGCCTCAGAGTAACAACAATTTTCTAGCAGGGACAAAGAAGGCAGAAGAGAATGAGCTTTCCTTCCCACGTTCACCAGTTGTTTCCTGTTGTGTCCAGCTCATGGTGATTTCTTAGTCCCTAGGGTCCTCAGCCTCGTGAAGTTTTTTGTGACCAACCTGAGGAAGAAAACCTTGGAAGTGAAAACCTTAACTATCATCAAAAGGCAAGCAAACCTCAGATTGGTGTGTGTCTGTCTAGGGAAAGGGCAGTAAGCTACAGCTTTGGAGTATGCAAGGTATATATATATAATTATTTTAAAAGCATTCATTTCTGCTCTGGGTCCCCATTCCTCAATACCTACATCTCAAAAGCGTGTGTCCTGGTTGCCTCAGACAACATCGTCATCCAAGCCCGCTGTGTTCCTGAGCCTGATGGCTCTCTTCTCCCATGATACCACGCACCTGAGATCCTATCCCATGCCAAGCCCCACCTGAGTGTCCCTGGTCACGCTTGCTGAGGCACAGACCTGTGGGCCAAACTTTAGGCCTCTCAGCTTTTCACCCTCCCTTCTGTCTCTGCTGTGAGAGTCCCCACTTTCAAACATAGGCTTTTTCAGACTGCTTCCCTGATAGCTTTCTTTAGCAAAAGTAGAAAATCTGGACTCCTACTTGAAAGAGAAGGGAGGAAGAAAATAGGAGTTACTATCTCAAAGGTATTTCACCCCTCAAAAGGAAGGTAGCCTCCTTCCACTGTAAATTGTTTGTTTTTAACCCATCCCTCCTTCCACTATAAATTTTTTTAATCCATTCATTTATTCCAACTGTTTATTGTGGACCAACTGTGTGCCAGAGATAGCATCATGTTCCCCCAACTTTATCCTGAATGGCATCACTTGCCTGTTTCCCACTAGACAAGTAAATTGAGTTCCATATTATGGATTTTTTCTGCACACCTCATGATCTACAGATATTTTTTTTTTAAGTTTTTAGTTTTTTTTTTTTTTTTTTAAAGATTTATTGATTTATTCATACAGAACTGGGGTACAGGCCAGAGATGCGGAGGGTGAGAAGATTCACCAGAGACAGAGTGGGGAGCAGAACAGGCAGATCGATGAAGTACACTGCTGAGGGGAGCAGCGGGCGGGCCAGGAGAGGTCTGCCACGCCATGTGGTCACCTCTGGGACAGGCGGGGATCGAACTCATGCGGAATTGGCTTAAGATTCTTAGTGCAGTGCTTTAACCCGCTGTGCCACCAGGGAGGGCCGATCTACAGATATTTTATAGCTTACAAAGCTCAACAGATGTTGGCAGGACAGAAAGACACACAGAAGAGAGAAGTTGATGCCAAATCAAAAGAGAGCATTGGTTTCTAGTAGTTCAGAAAAATATGATTAAAATGAAACAAACTAGATTTGCTCTGGGACAGTAATTTAATGAAGAGCACTGATTTACCAAATTAGTGTTTAGCTTGGAGGTGTCATTTCTCTATACCCCTTGTCCCCCAGATATCGTTGTTCACAATTACTGTGCGCCTTATACCTCACCAGGCACTCGGTGTGCACGGTCTCTTCCACCCTGGAAGACCCTGAGCCTCTATGGGTCAACAGCCTGTGTGTGAACCTCTGAGCCCCTGCACAATGACCCTGACGTGGCAGGACGACAGAATGCTTGCTCGCCTGCCTCTAATGCCCTGCCTGCCTCTCCTTTGCAGCTGGAAGCAGTTTACTTGTGTCTTAAGGCCCATGGACAAGTGCAGCAGAGGCACTACCCTGTAGGCCCCAGGAAGATGTATAATCTGAGCAGTTCTTGTAAGTCACTGTGATCTTCACATTCCAGCCCTATATTTTATGATAGGAGACAGTAAGTTCTGAGATGAGATGATGAAAAGCATGAAGATCAATAGAATGCTCTGTGTAGACCCGAACCCAGAAGAAGAACCTGTAATGAGTGTAAAGAGCATCTCCTACAGGGGGTGCTGAGAAATGTTAGTGCAGTGAAATCCTTTCTTGGAATATAACTCAGTCTTCACCTTTCCTGGAAATCACAGTGCCAGAAATCCCATACTAGACAGAGCTGTTTCATTGAGCACTTGAGATCACAGCACCTCTTTTTATGAGAATACTTATTAACCACTCACAACATACATTTTGGGAAACTTTGGACGAGACCAATGTCAAACCAAAGGAAGGGTTCCACAGCCATGCACGGCCCTTTTGAGCTTCTCAGACATCCCGAGAAGTCAGGAGGCGAGGCTCTAGGCTGCATCCAGCCTCAACTGCTGCTGTGCTCCCAAAGCCATTTTAGGCTGTCCATATATCTCCCTTGGTGCTGGCCAGGCACTGCCAGGAGGCTTCTAGGTCTTTGGACTCACCAAAAACACCTGAACAAGGTGGAGGGACAGTTGTCATGATTCAAGTTCTGGTTTCTCTTCCATCATCCAGGAGGAACCCAGTAGTGGTAACTGAAAGCCTGTTAAGAACTGTTTCTTTTTGGTTATGGTGACTAGTCGGTAACTGTCACTGTCCTGGGGGCCCTGCCAAATGGAGTTTTCACCAACCCCAAGGTCTATGGATCTTCTATCCAGCAAATTGTATTTTACATTATTTTTCTAAGCCAGTGGTGACAACTAAGAAGGTCCCTCTGCAATTAGAATCTGATGTCAGAGTGAGAAAATCCCCTGTTCACTGGGAGCTCCCTCGTCACTCATTCTCTACCAATGATATTTATTCCCCTTCGTTGTTTTAGTCTTAAAAAATGACTCCCCTGGTTGCAATGTTATGTTAAGCATATTACTCCAAAGTCAGTTCATATATTACAGCTCGTTACACTCATGGGTATACATTTCTGAATAGCTCTCACTCTGCAGTTGCAGCCCCACGTTAAATATGGGCTGCCACGGGCGGGGCCTGGGAGTTGTCTCCTCATTGCTGGCTCCTTGCTTTTCCTGGAGGTTTTCTTCCTCCTCTATTTCATACTCTTCAGACAAGATACTCCCCCCCATAGGAGAAGCTTACCTGGGCATGGGGGCCAGTAGTATCCTCTGGGGTTCTGGGAGGGAAGGTTAGAAAGTGATGGCCATTTGGGACACATGTTGGAGTAATTGTAGCCTCTGGCAGGCCAGTGATGGTGTGGACATGAGTGGCCACACTGAGGGGGGTAGAGGGTGTGAAAGGAAAAATCTACCAAGACCATGGACAAAATGTTACATTTTCCTTCTGCAACATTAACTTCAAAATGAGCTTTTGTCCTCTACAACTATTGCTTTTTGTCATTTTCAGCTAGCGTACTCTTAAGCATCTGTGTAGTAGCATCAATAATAGAAAGTTTTAGGTTTACAGAATGTAAAAATGTGATGCCTTCAATAAGATCCCA